AGGATATTATTGGTTGAAATCAGTTAGTTCATGCTGATGTAAGCACGCGTCACATTTAGTTAGTTTAGTTACTTTGTTTCTGACATGAAAATACAAAGAAATTGAGTTTTTGTGCATCTTTTGTCCCAGTTTTTAATTCCACCTGGACTTGGAATGACGTGGATGTGTGATGTTTCCTCGCGTTGTGCGGAGAGTCAAAGTGAGTCAACAGTGTTGAGAGCGACTGAGTTATTGGCCAAGAGAGAGAGAGAGAAGCTGCTGGAGGACGAAAGCGAGCGAGATGAGAGAGCGAGCAGTGATGACAGTGATGTTGATCACAGTGTTGTTTGCTTCCTGTGCTGAAGCTGCTCTGCTCACGCATGATGCTGATGCTTCGGGCCTGAGGGCAAAGGTCACTGAGTTAACCCACTGTGACACACACACACACTGACATACTGCGACTCATACAACCAGCTGCACAGACACAATCGCAGGCTCGTTATTACCCTAGTGCTGCAGTTGTGTCGGGAACATTTGGCCCGAGATGGGCGCCACAAACCGCTGGTTTTAAACCCGGATTCGGTGTCACAGGTTCTCCTTCAAGAGGGAGATAATCTGAATGACTTTCCCTCGCCATTATTCAGTCTGACGTTGTCTGATGTTGTTATTTTTGCCCTCGCCAAGGACGAGTATCTGCCCTGTTCAGCTGCCCCCAAAAAGTCGTGATTCGAATCAACTTTGGAGAAGAAGCAGAGTCGACTCACTGTCTGAACCCGCCGTGTCTTCATCCCCAGAGTCAGAGTCCTGGTCGGAGCCGCTGGGTCCCTCTGCTGCTACACTAGCAGTGTCTATACTCCCCCTGTCCATCCCGCTACTGGTCCGGGTACAGATATATAATAAGACAGCTAACTTTTCAGCTGACAGCGCTGTGATTTTCTAACTGAATATGAGCAGAACGAAATTCGACACAATAAATGTCCTCAAAAATTATTTCCTAAAAAGCGTGGGAGCCTTTTTTGTTCTTTCTCTGTACAGAAACAGACTTTGAATCTTAGAGATCCTGTTGCCCACAGACGGCGAGAATAAGTTTTATCTCCATTTTGTGATTCTTGGTGACAATCTCAGCGCTGAAAGGGTGAAAGAAACACAGCGAAACATTTTCTATTTGTGTTTGAATGGACTCAAATTAGACAAAAACAACCAAACAGCAGTAATGAAAGAATGATGACGCTCCAAGAACTGCATTTGGGGAGCAGATAAAAGACATACAGTTCTGTAAAACACAGATTAATACACAGAAAGATCATCTATGGGTGTGTGTGAGCATTGAACTTGGTGGAATCTGTGGTTATTTAGCCGTTTTGTTTCCTGCGCCTGCTGGAGGTCTGCGGTCCCAGAGGAAGCAGGAGTTGTGAAACTGAACCAGAGGGTCTTTACACACTGAGACAGTATCTGTGCGCCTGGCAGTGGCAGAGCGCTCACTGCAGGCGTTCCTGCGTTTCACGGCCTCGGCTCGCCTCCGGAGATGGCGCGCCGGCTTGGGTAAGCAGGCTGACAACATCTGCTCGGCCGCACTGTGCACTTTATCTGGCTGCATCCGCCCGTGGGAGGCTGGGAACACGGCTTGCCTGAGGGGGCGGAGTTACAAGAGCAACAAAAAAAAAAAAAAGATGGATATGAGGAAAGTGATGATGAGTGTTTCTGCAGAGGTTCATTTGATTTATCTACTTATGTTGTTTGAACCCACAGGGGACTGATATACCTTACTGCTAAAGGCGCAGTCGCTTTACAAAGAGCGCCGGGGGAAAAATGGGGCAGCGTACGGAAACAGGCGATCAGATCGTCAAGTTCTAGATTAATAAACTTAATTTCAAAAAGTTTGATTACAGAGTTTTCTTGGGTTTATTTCTATCTATTATCCATGCTGTATGTCGTGCATGTATAGCATACTTGACAATAAAGTTGACTTGACTTATTTTCTCTTGTCCTCTCACAGTCTAACAGCTAACTAACTAACTACATTGATTTGATTTGGACCACAAATACATTTTCCTCCTGCTAAATGCACTTTTTCTCATTTATTAAGTATTAAAAAAGTAAAAAAGTGTCCATTGCTGAGGATGGTTCAGATTCTGAATGTGACGTCTGATCTCAGCTCTCTCACTCTTTGGTTGATTTACCAGCGGCAGAAACATTTTAAACATAAGATATAAATCCTTGGACAGTTAAAGTTGTATCTGCACTG